TATATATATATATATATATATATATATATATATATATATATATATATATATATATATATATATATACTTACAGGTGTTCACCAAAATTCGTGCAACATCACTCTCATTTTGGAAATACATTTCAGTTTGCAGTATCATACTTTTATATTAATGACTATGGGTGGAGTGTATTTATTCCTCACTTTATTTCCAAAATTTAGACGACCTTGAGTATCCCGACAAAATTTGTAGTATTTCGAAAGTTACGACTAAGATTTGGAAGATATTTTATGCAAAACAACATGGAAATCCATTCTCTCTAACGAATGATTCCTGTTTCATTAGTGATTAATAAACTGAACACATTTATTCTAAATTTCTTATCTCTTTTGATTCAGTGTATGGTCAAAGTCAAAGTTTTACTATAGGCGTTTTGACAAAGCTAAAGCTTATCATGCCTCATAGGATTTTTAAACAATGTTTTGAATAACTTCACAAAGAGAAAATAACAATGATAATAATGTGCGTCATCACTCACGGATGTTGAAATTTTAAGTGTTACAATGCTTTATCAAGTTGCGATTTAAATAGTTCAACTGTAGGAGCCAAATAATTAAAATATTCTAGCTTTAATAAATTGATAAATTATTTGGCTACCAACTACGCACGCATTGCCTCTAATACTGAAGCAAGTGGAAATATATCCCAGGAAACATACAAGCTGACCACCGAAAAAATAACCTTGAGGTGTGCGGCTCATTAAGTAAGCGTTTTGTGGTTTCACCATGCCCAAACCGGATGAAACATCCAACTGATTTTGGCATCTAATTGAAGCCGAGAGGCATATAAATCCGATGACTTCGTACTGTACTAGTGCAAGTGCTTCGATGTGAACATAAGCTCAATTTGTTGCACACTTAATGGAATTTTAAGAGGGAGAAAAACGATAATATCAAAGCAAGACGATAGTTGAATGTGATCGCACACAACCAATATGAAGAACGATCCAGGCGGATTAGCCGATTTTTCCTCCGGCTACCGTTTAGAAAATGACAGCTCAATTTGAAATGCAGCTTAGGTTACCTGATGTGAGGCCATCATTGAATGGCCAACAAAGCAATGCACGTATTGATTTCACCAACAAATTCAAATCGCGTTGCCCATCCGTTTGGCAATGAGTTTATCTCATTGGTGGTCAACAAGTAATTCAGGATGCAGAGAAAGCTAATCTACTGATCTAGTCTTTCAATGAATTTCGTTTTACGTGTCAAAAGAAGTAAATATGCACCTCACCTAACGAGTTGAAGGGGAAGTAAATACCGAGCGCCTTGTTGTTGGTCTCCTGCACATAACGATGTGGTTATTGCAAAATATCTTGCAATGGTAAGGTAGATTTTTGAAAACTATGACTGCCAAAATGCATTTTCAGAAGTCATATTTGTCAGAGTTGTAGGTCAGTATATCTTCTCAATTGAGGTTGGCAGTAGAAAACGGTTCGACCTCATTAAATATTATTTTTTCAAATTTATGCAGTTTCTAGATTACCCCAGGATCTTCGATATCCTGAGACCGCTTCCTCAGCTAGGTCTTTTATCTTTGTTTAAGTCACTACCACCTCCGATGAAGCAAGTTCACTTTCAACGGTGCATGAGTTCAGTGCTACACCTTCGCTTGCCAAGCATTTTCGCTTTCAGATACTCTCGAGCGTAGTCAGGCTAAACTCCGGTGCTTTCATGGAACAATATACTTTCCCTTGACTAACCAATTGTCGTGACATTGCATCCTCCATCTCTAAACCTGTTAGATGAAGGGATAAGTTATCTCCCATCAGAGTGGTCGTCAGTGGTTAGGGTGCGGCATGTATTAGAGGAAACTGGCAAGTTCTGTGAGATAATCAAATTGGTGAGCTCCATGGTAAAGCGACTGCCTCCAGTGCACAAAATTGAAGAAGAGCAAATAGAGTACAGACCAGAAGAAAGTACAATGCCTGTATGAAATCTATGAGCCATTTTGAAGAAGTCATCCGTTTTAGAAGTCAGTGGCGCGAATACGGTACGGTTTGCCTGTCGAAATCCAGTGCCCCACAAAAAAGACAAACTAACAAAAATTTAAAAAAGTGTACGATGAAACACGAAAAATGTCATTCCATATATTTGCTATTTTCCATTTTAACAGTTCCGTCTTTTTTCCCATGTTCTGTATCCTAACCTCCCTTCCCGTTATTGTTATCGTTGATATTGTTATGGCGTTGGCACCATGCTTGTCCGCAAGCCGGTGTTATATATATATATATACTGTTGACGTGTTGTTAAACCACTGCAGTCGGTTCCGCTGTTTGGGTGTGCGTAGCCGTATGGGATTATAACTGGTTTCTGACCCCTTTGGGAGCTGATCCCTTCATCCTACTCTCAAAATGATTATTGATTATTATTATTGATCGATGACTTCTGACAATCGATAGTTTCCCACCCAAAGCAGTTTCATAATCCTAAAGCAAGACAGAGCAGACTAATGCTGATTTCGTTTCGGTGCCTTAGGGGTTTCTTCGGCTGTAGAAACGCATTTCGTGCAGCATCAACGCCCACTTGTACCTCATTTTTAGCTTGGACGTTGGGCAGGTATTTGGATCTTTCGACCGATAGCCGTTTGGTTGTAAAGCACCTTCGAAATGAATTGGGAGTGTCTCGAACATTTTGGTTTAGTTTGTGTTCACCTTTAAGCCGATCCCAGAGACTCGTCGATGAATGCGGTCAATGAGGGACATGTCCTCATCCACGAGGACGATATCATCAACGAATTCTAAATCGGTGAGCCAGTAGTTCTGAGAGATCTGAACTTCCTGGTATCCTCCGATAGAACGGCCCATTATTTCAGTCAACGGTCAAGTTGAGCATCGTTCAGGATGGTGGGCTCCCCTGTCATACTCCAAATCCTAACTCGATCGCGGTTGACTCACTGTAATTCTTGATTAGAGACCTAGTGCTGGAGTAATGGGATCTCATGAGGTTAACAAGTTTAATTGGTACACCGTTGACGAGTACCATGTTCCAGAGGGATTCGCGGTGTACGAAACGGAATGCTCCATTAAAATCTATTATGCCGACTGCTGTGAGTTGTTGAAAATTGTGGCGATGTTCTTAGAGACGACGCAGGGTGAATATTTGGTCAACGCAGCCCACACCGGAGCAAAATCCTCCGTCGTTGGGATGGGTGGAGCGTGTCTTGTTTTTAAAAAGTGGTTCAGCAGAAGTTATGTGAAACCCTTGGCTGCTACGTCAAGTAAACTGTTACCCTTTTCGTTTTCGCACATCAGTTTTTAGAGGCAGTAAAATCGATGTCGTCCCATCGGTTTGGAAACGGTACCTTTCCTCAATCACTCTCAGTAAGCTATGCAATGGGTTAAAAATAACTGGAGAGTACCCAGAGTAGATTTCCGTGGTTATCCCGTCATCGCCGGGAGAGTTCCGCGGTTCGAGATGGCTAACCATATCTGAGATGTCTAATTGCGGAGCGCAGCTATTTTCGTACGGCAGTGATTGCAAGGAGAACTCATACAGGGCGACTTTTCGTTGCTGCTCTGATACAGTCAGTATTGACTATCAATACACGGGATTTTTAATACCTTTGCGACCGGAGCCCGCTAGCCTAACTTCAGAAAGTCATATGCTGTTCAGCTGATAGTCATGCAGCACGCGTATCGTTAGTCTGACTCCCGGCATCTAACAGTGTTCTAACGTTCAGGCATCCAGTGAGGGATGTTTAGGGTGTCCCTTGCGCAAACTTTTCACCCGAGTCATTGGATAATCTCAGTGGGCGTCACTTCTCGGATTAATGATACAAGTTGGGTGATTATCCATGAAATTTCTTGGGACTTGGGTGTAGGAAGCGTCCTCAGCGTCAGCTAGCTTTAGGTCGAGGTGGCATCTCTAGCCTTTGCACATCCAAGTGCCAACTGCAAGACAGGAGGAAGGGAGTGCACGGTTTTCGGCGGTTCTCTGGCGGCTTTTGCTTCATCGAAAGTTTCTATATATACGGAGTTCCATACGACCCTGATGATTACCGGTTCGTTGCCTTGGTCGTTGAATCGTCGAGAGACTTCGTCCGCTCAATGCGTCAATACCGCATTCGTACGTTAGGCATCAACTCGCCGGGCTTTGATCTCCCGCTTAACCTCAACCTTGTTTGGCCCACCTGTCGTACGGTTTACTAGGATGTGTTCACTGTTGCATTTATAC